ACTCACCCCTCGTTTGCCGGTGTGTGCATCGAACCTCATATGATATCATGATATCGAATCTAGCCTGATACCCAACCCGGCCGACAGCACAGCACCGCACAGCACAACATATGAACACACCGTGCTGCTGCTACGGTGTGTGTGTGACACATATAGCAGCTCACACAGCAGATCAAGGCAGCACACACAGCACCGTAGTACGAGTTCCGGTGTGTGTGCGGGGTCTACGAGAGGGCAATAGCAGTTTCGACCTAGCCTAGGCATGTGCTGTGCTGTGCCTAGTAGACCGGCTGCTCTCACGATGACGTGTCACTTGACTCTGCCGCATCACTCATCATCTCGCTGTCATTGTCCATCTTCTTGTCATCACCGTTATCGTCCGGCTTCTTGTCGTCATCTTTCTTCCTGTCATCTTTCCTGTCATCGTCCTTCTTCGTGTCGTCATCGTCCATTGGCTCATCGTCCTCGCTCTGCAGCATCGGACCCTGCTCCATGAAGATCGCGATGCTCGGCCTCAGCAGCTGGTAGCCTCCACACTCTGGTCTCGTTGCACGGTACACCATCTCCTGCACGGATGCACTGCGCGGTATCGACATGCTACCCGTCTCCACACCATTCTCCAGCAGGGTCACTTCGTACTGCATGTCGGGCGAGCTCGGCAACATATGGGGCTGAAGCCCCAATGCCCACTTGGGCTGGGCCTTGGGCCCGTCCACGTCATTGCCCTCCATCGTGTTCGTCGTCTTCATGGCCTTCATGGACATGCTGGGCCTGGCCTTCATGGCCTTAGTGGCCTTCGGAACCGCCTTCATGGCCTTCATCGACTTGCTGGGCCTGGCCTTCGGAACCGCCTTCATGACCTTCATGGCCTTCGTGACCTTCATCGCTTTCATCGCCGTGCTGGCCTTCATCATTTTCATGGCCTTCGTGACCTTCATCGCTTTCGTGGCCGTGCTAGCCTTCATGGCCTTCATGGCCTTCATCGCCTTCGCCTTCGCTGCAGGCTTCTTCATGGGAGCGAAGCCACCATCAGCGAATCAGCATTCAAGGAAGCTTCCCTAGTATTAATGGGCCATGCTTTTGCAGTGTGGCTGCTATTGTTGGCATGCTCCTAGCCGTCACGTAAACCCTGATCGATGGGCCATGTTGTCACAGTCTGGTTTTGCACCCGAACACAACATCGAGCAAGCTGCCCTCTGGACCAAGTATCGCGAACACTCGCCAACCGATGCTGCACAGCACTGCAATCCCCAGAGCATGCCAACGGCTAGGAGCAGTGCCACCCTAGAACAACCCCAATCCCGCAGCCTCGCGGCTTCTCCTCGGCCACATCCGGATCCAGGGCCTTGGCAAGCAGACTCCAGCGGTAGCCGAGACCACAGAAGCAACCTCCGACTACACAAGGACAGCATCGGCAGCTCGGGCCACCGTCACGACATCGTCGTTGCGCTAACCGACAAGCTGAGAACAACAAGCACCTGGGAAGCATCTGGAGCTCAGGTCCCAACCAATGCATCCCCAGACCACCAAAACCATCCCGCCGCAGCCTGGCCGAGCTTTCGTAGTCAGTCGGACTTATCAACACTGACACTGCGCGGCACTACTGTCCCTCACTGGAAACAGCAACTGATCCTGCAAAGAACTGCAGCCACCCCCTTTAGTTTAAAAGGGTGCACAAAATCCACAATCGAACCTGCACAGCACCACTGTCGCCACCAAAGCTGCCGCGAAGCCCAGGAATCCCTGCAAAGTCATTGCACAGCATCCAAGGAAGTAACGTGTTTTAAAGACAGGAACAATCAGCTACCAGACAATATTCAAAGACGTTGCAGACATGCTTGCAATGATTCAGCGTCTGAGTGGACATGGTGCAGTGGGCCAAGCCCCTGGCTGGCGCACACATGGCCCCGCTTTCACCTGGCATCGCACACAGACACACACAATGAAAAATTGAATTGTGCGTCTCACTGCGCCCACGTGACTTAGGACTATCGCAGCAGCTTGACTGTTCTGAAGAATCCGACACCGAACCCCAGCTCACGACTGCTTGAATCCCAATAACAGGAATACCCGACATCGAAGAATCCGAATGCACCTGCACCTTTTAGCTTCATCAGTGTCGCCTCAATCAAGTGAATACATACTAGTTGGCCAGGGGGTGCGTGGCAAACCTGGTCCCCATCTCGCTCAGCTGAACCCTGGCGCACGAGTCGCAGGCCAGGGGATTGTGGGGTCAAGGGCTAAGGGTTCCGGGAGTTGCACCCAGTGCGTCGCAAACCTGATCCTGCACAGCACTCCAGTCCCGGCAAAGTGAGGGACACCACTCCAAATCCGAACCCTTAACCCCCAACGGCTTTATCCCGGCAAGCCTTCCAATCATCTCGCTCGCATCAAGCCGCGTCCAGCCTGGGCAGCAGTGAAGAGGGACAAGGAGGACAACGCAGAAGCGCCCTCAACACTGAGGTTCGGGTGCTTGGGGATCAACATCATTGCGCATTGGGCAGCCTAGCCGAGGACCGCGGCTGGGTGTGGAATGGGGGTGGGGTTCGGTTTCAGTTTAGGCTAGAAGCGGCTAGTACTGGAACAGCCCACGCAGCATTCAAGCAAGCCTTCGCACCCCGAACAAACCAACATACGAGTCCAGTCAAAACTCCTACACGCCAAAACTCAAAACTGAAGAGAAAAAGCCCCTCTTCTGCCGACTCGGGGCCGACCGCGGTGCCAGAGACGCTGCTCCTCTGGGAATGTTGAGGAAAATCAAGCCTCTGTTCCGAAAGAACTGGTAACCGACAGGCTTGAGAGTCCAGCACATTTGATTCGCTTGCAATTTCAGCACCAGTCGACTGTTCAAAACGCCGATGCTTGAGACAACATGCCACAATAACACACACACATTTCCAGCAACATCGTCAATCACCCTGAAATCCTACGCCATCAAAACGCCGCAGTCTGCCAGAGCGGTCCTTCTCCGTCCACGGAATGAAGGAGATGATGCATGGACGAGGCTTCGTCTAGGTTTGTGTTTGTCTTTGTCTGGGGCACTAGCTACAAACGGCTCTCATTGCAGCACTGGAATTCATAATAACTCTACCCCACACCAGGCCGCAAAACCTGCCCCCCACCTCCCCCCCTCCTCTCCCCAGCCCTCTGAAACACAAACCTTGGACTCCAAGCCACAAGCCTGAATCCTGCCATAAACCACAAGCTCCAGACGCTAGCCCCAAATCTTAAAGCCTACGTTTGCATCGAAATCCCAAACCCCATAGCCGACTGTAACTATTGTTGGATGTCCAAGAGTCGTTGTCGCAAAAGTAGTACATGCCTGCAGCTGTAATCGCCCGTCGCAAGGCAACCTGCTGCCTCGCGCGATTCTTTTCCATGCCCTGCCGATAGGACAAGGCTTCCAGGGACAATTCCACCAGATTGGTGTCGAACGCATGCACCAGTTGGCGCAACAAGTTCAAAGCCAATGGCCTCACCAAGCCGAAGGCACCTGCATGCGGGTCGTCAAGCCTTGCTGGGTGCATTCCGAACAGAATAACATCTATCAGCGACGGTCTCTGGAAGTCAGAGGTGAGGACTTCTGCCCCACGCAGAGCGATCCACGCTGGTCGCAATCGGGCGCGAATTCCTGTCGTCCAAACGTCCTGGACAGCAAAAGTTCCTCCAGGGTGACGCACTTCTTTGGAGACAGTCGCACGGGCGCCGACAGCCTGCACATCGAACTGCAGAGAACCGCACCCTTGGAGACAGTGCTCGAACAGCCTGCAAAGGCATGCCCTGGCAGCTTTCCGCTGCTCAGAGTGTCGCTGGGAGTGCGAAATCCCCCAGGCGATCCACGACCATGCCAGAGAAGTTGGCAGAGTTCTGTCCTTCAGATAGAACTCCTGAGCCTCTCCGTCAGAGATGCCCACCTCCCGTTCATGCTTCGTGCGCGGCAGGGCTGGCACAGGTTGTCCAGGGAAGAGCTCGTGGTGAACCTCCTCCACTTGGGAAACCTTGACAGTGTCCCGGCAGTGAGTCATGGCCTTCTCAGGCTTTGCCGTGGTAAACAAGTTGAGGAGCAGGTCACATGCCGCCCATTGATTCGGAACTCCAGACCCGGGGGCTAAGACCACGGGGATTGCCGGATCTCCGGGAACCAGCACGTTCACCAAATTCAAGCCCGCCATGGAATCAGCAACATGTCATTCTAATTTGCCTATGGCCTATGCATGTCGCTGGCAATGAATCATACGGCTGATCTCGCAGTCTTTGAGGGCTCGGCGTGTCGTTGCCTGCTGCTAGCTGTGAAGTAGTCTTGGGCCCAGCGCCGGTTGTTAGGCTCAGTCGCAAGTAGCCCAGGGGAACACAAGGCTCCTCTACTCATGTGCTGTTGTCGGTTGTAGGAGTGATACTGTCGATGGACAAACTCCTGCATGACCCTAAGGACTCTAAACTATGGGAATTATAGTATATTCCTTATAATTGGTAATGCAAGATTCCTTTATGATCATGGCTGGCTGGTTGTCATAGAGAACCTTTTTATATAACTGTTATCGGAAAACCACACCGAAAAATAAATCAAAATAAGCCTTAATAAGGGTTATTTCGTCTTTATTTGTGTTCCCCCGCATCTAAAAAAAATAAAGACAATTAATCCTTATTAAGCACTAATAATCCTTATTAGGGTCTATTTCCGGGCCCACCCCTCTATTTTATATTTATTTTCTAGGGGGGGGGGTTTGGAGGGGGGGGGCAGCGATTCTTGTGATATTTGTGTGTGCACAAACATACATGCGTACATGCATAGCATTTAAAACATACGTACATATGTACGTACATACATACATACTTACATACATACATACGTACATACATACGTACATACGTACATACATACGTACATATGTACATACATATGATACATCCATGCATACGTACATACATATGTTTGCATGTATAACTAGTATAGCGCATAAACGTACATGTATAATGCATACAGATACAGGTCTGTATATTCATTCTCCAGGCTTTCCGAGGCACTTCTTGTCCTCCGACGCCTCCTCGTCCGCTCGCGTTGCTTGGCCACTGTCTTCCACCCCGAGGTCGCTTCGAACTTGGCCCACCAAACCTGCCGCAGCCTGTCCATCACCATAGATCAATGCCTAACAGCTAACAACCTGCCCCTGGTTCGCTTCGGCCTCCAGACCATCATCCGAGGAGTTGGAAAATCCTTCCTGCGCATCTCCAGCGTCCGACTCGGGTTCGGCGTGGGACCCATCCTCACACTCGCAACATCTCGCAAGGATCCAACTCCGGGAGCCTGAAACTTGCACAGATCTCTGCTTTGGCCGAGAGTCCCCAAGGCCACCCAAACCCTCCTCGGAGTCGCTGCCTCGCACAAGGCGAGCAGAAACAAAACCGTGTCTAGCACTCGTTTTCAGGGCCCTAGGTGGCCTAGGGATGATCCGGAATCCTCCGCAGTCTCCTCCAGGCCGGAGCCCTCATCGGCGTCTGCCTCTAGGGCAATGCAGAGCACATCCAGGAAGTCATCGGGGTCCATCTCCTTCGACGTCTCCCGCTTCACTTCTCTGAGAGGCAGTGCAGTGTGCAGTGTGTCTTGCGGGGCTCCGCCGCGTGCTCCATGTACTCGGCGGGCAGCTCCAAGATGCGCATCACGATCTGCCAGAGACGGCACTTGCGGGGTCTCTTTTTCAAAGCCGGCGCCCGGCCTCAAAGGCAGGAAACCCAACGTCGCTGGCCAAGACTTCCTAAGTTGCGTTGGTCTTGGAACTCACGGGCTGCAGTTTGCTGGTCGATCCCCTGGACGAAGGCACCCCTGCATCCTATGGAATAAGACTTCTTTCGCTGTTCTGCTGGTCGAGTCAAGCTTCACAAAAGTCCGCAAAGCCTTCGAGAAGCTCTTGATCCTTGCATGGGACAGTTGCATTTTCCATCCGACATGGCGGAGCCTACAAGTCTTCAACTTACATAGAAGGGCCTGCGGCTTGATGCACTGCGCTTTGTGCCCTATCCAATCCTTGTCACTGAACCCTGGACCCAACTCCCAAGCCTTGGAACAGTTCATGCCCCACTGAACCCTCCCCACTCCCGATCTCGTCTCCTGAAGAAGCTCAGATGCCGCCTGCAGCGCTTCTATGCCTCGTTCGCTGAGCACCTGAGCTGCACTTCATGACAGGAAAGGAGGTGCCGTGAAAGGAGCGACGTGGCCTCGAGAGCGGGCCCCTTCAGGATGCCTCCCAGGAACTCCCAGGCCGCGTCGTCGCCGCCTGAGATCGAGAGAGGCATTGCCGGGCGCATCACAGACTGGGCCGACCGCCCCAGCAGCCCCGGCAGCCGGGTCTCGGGCGGAAGATGCTGGGCGCAGCGGCCAAGTGCAGCACCGTGGACGCGCAGAGCGCCAAGGGCACCTCGAGGCCTTGGGCTCTTTGGAGTGAAATGGAAAGTTCTGCATGGACCTGAGGATCTAGTTCAAATCCACAACCAACGAAAACATGTGCCACGAAGGTGGTGGCACCTGACTCGCTCTCGCTCTCGCTGCCCATGACAGACACCTGACATGCTGGGTTTCTCAAGCCACTGCCGAGGCCAGGATCCACTCGAGCAATGCTGTCCAAATGAAGGAAAAGGCTTCGTGTGTCATGGCGCCAACAGCTCTGTTCAGACAGGGTACCTGGATGGCGAAGGCGTCCATGACAGACTGCATGGACTTCTCCGAAGCAGACTCCCCATCCACCTCGGCAGTTCACGAGTTTTGTCTGGTGGCGATAGTTTATTGCCACTTGAGGTTTGCATAGGCCACTTGCTAAGGCGACCTCCAGCACGTGCCTCCAGGAAATGGAGCCGTTCGAGCAGTCCAGGAGAAGACAAGCTGGCATGTCTCCTGGCGTTCGCAGCTACATCGCATTAGAAAGCTTCGGTCTCCCGTTACATTGCCAGCACAGCTCGGCTCCTTGCACCACCTCGAACTTCAAATTCAGCTTCGGGCCACCGGCGGCCTCGCCCTTTGTTATTGAAACCTGAAGCCCAAACGCCCAAACCCAAGCCGGGGCTTGACGGTGCTTTTTCCCGTGGGCCTCGTCCAGCAGAGTGGTCTCGCGAGGATCCTCTCCGTCCAGAGTCTCACGCAACACCTCCGGGTGCTCAGACACGCGTGCCATGTGCGCATGAAGTGCCACTGCACATTACAATCTCAAACATGGACGCCACGGCGGGGCTCGGGCGAGGCGTGGCAGGAACTTGCCACAGGTCTCATCGAGACCGGGAAGAATGCAAGTCCAGTCCGGATATTGCAGATGTAGCGTGCCTTGCACAAACTCGCTACAACTCACAATCTGATGGCACCAGGTGACGCACGGCCAGATGCCGACAGGGTGCGTATTGTCTGTGGGGTCGGCACGGCCGCTGCGGCGGCCTTCTCAAGCACCAACGGCTGGCTCCAGCCGCTTTGATGAATAGACTGCCTGCGCAGAGCACAAGGATCCGTGACTTTGGCAGTACTTGCAACGTCTGCGACTGAGCGAAGTCGAAAGCCTTGCGTACAGCTGAAGGCGAATCCGGACGCAAGCACTTGAGGCGCAGCTGTCGGGCAGCGGAGTCAGGCCAACGCCTTAGAGCCCAACTCGGAGCAAACAGCCGCCCGGTCCTTTGCGTGGCCAAGCGGCAAGTGTCGCTCGTTGCGGCCGCACAAGCCTGCAGACCCCAGAAAGAATAATCAGCACTGAGCGTCGCCTGGAATTTATTCAGGTTCAAAAGCTGGCCTTGGCGACGAGCTCACTGGCTGTCGTCGGGTCCTGTGCCGACAAGCAGACCCGAAGTCTTGGAGCGAACCGCTCCCAAAACTGCACTGGTAAGAGTAATTGCTTCGGGATTCGCTGCCACCCAGGCCCACGTAGTGCTTGCAGATTGGCTGCAGCTCGATCGCTGGCTGCCAAACTAAAGGAGACATGCCTGACGCCACGGCTTCTCGCAGTGCCAACACGAGTCCCATCAGTGTCGGCTTCAGGACAAACTAAGTTCGGTACAATCCGAAGTTCGTGAAATGTTTCTTCGGCAGAACGCATATGAAGGCACTGACTGCGCGCCTATGATGCTTTGGCCAACACTCTCTTCACTGAACTCCACTTCGCTGTCCTCACGCGAACAGTAAATCCAGGCATGTGTTGGCTAAGGCGAACTTGTTATCAGTCATCGCTCGAACCTATTTCAAGATTGTGGCGGTGCAAATCGTTCATGGTTCATTCCTAGGTTTAGGGTTCACATGGACTTGATTCGCATTTGAAGTTTCCCCGTGAGCTTGTCTTGAGATCCTATCATTCTACGCGTGTGTCGTTGAAAGTTCAGAAAGGATGTCTGCAAGATCTGACCAAGGAGTGCAACTATTCCACACGAGAGGCTTCTTGAGATCCGAATCGCTGCCACTAGCTTTGCAAGATTATTGACACGGCAGCTGGCGGTAGGATAGCAGGACTGCAGACTTCAAGACTCAATACTGACCTGCCTTGTCCGAGGACGGGAGCCCCTCGATGCAAGCCCATAGATGGCCTGTGGCACACCCGACACTGCAGCAAAACGACGTTTTCTCAGAGACAGTATGTGGTCTGCCGGACGAGACACTCACGGCCCGGCACCTCCGCAGACTTGCGAGAGTCTCGGCCAGTTGAAGATCAGGCATATCATGTTGCAAGACTGACCTGGCTGCGATGGCTGTGCCGCTAGGCAGGGGGAGGTGGGATCCGATGGCATCCAAGGCAAGTGCCCACCACATGCAGCTCACGCGGAAGGTCCGGCCTTGGCTCTCCAAGAAAGATGCAGCCCAAAGGAAGGAACCAAGAAATCGCCCAGTGGCAGTTTCCAGGCAAGTACGTCCGAGGGCTTGGAATGGACTGGCTCGAACTTGGAGATGTCACTTGAGGGCCCTCAGAGTTTGACACCATTACGGAGTGGAAAACAGCACATGCGCTTCATCTTCAAGCCAAGGAGCGATCTGCGCAAAGCCTGAAGCGAGCTTCCGAAGGGGTTGGACTCCTCAGATGGAGTGAACAGGCCAGGGTTGCAGGGTTCACGCTTCGGACGTTTGGGGCGACTAAGCCGGACGAGGAGCGTTTGGAACAAGAGTCGGCTCTCCTGCTCGGCATACTCGAGATCGTATTCATCCAGCTCGTCGATATCCTAACAACGACGATCCATCATGTCATCATGCCGATTTACATCGCCATGCTGCTCCGACCTGCTCCAGAGGAAGTAGCGCCTCGGAAGGAATCAGAGACTGGCAGAATCTAACCAACAGTCCCCTGGCCCGCCCACCAAGGGTCTCTGCTCTACCCTAGGCCTGGGCCCAAAGAGTCTGAAAGCCAAAGCCGCAAACAAATGAAGTCAGGTTTCGGAGATGTTCTGGGAGGCTGGCTCCTTGGAGGGTTCGACCCGTGTTCGGGTTCAGGCGGTTCAGGCTTCTCGGAGTCTTAACCCTGGACCAAGTCTTGTCTGCTGGTTACTTGACAAGACGACATCATGACTCCGCATCTGGGGACGAGACTCGAGCTCCCCCTCTGCAAGCCCTGAAACTGTGCATCTCAACACACAAGGAAGGGAGCAAAAACCAGAAAGCATAGCAGCCAAAATGAAGAGCTGAGTGTCCCAACAATGAAGATGGCAGCAGAAAAAACGAGAAACCAAGAAAAACCCAACAACGTCGCTTGCCATTCAATTACAATCCCCCTTAACAGCCACGTCCTGAGCCGGAACTGCGTTCATATTCAGACAGAATGCGCAGAGACAGACAGATCGATCAAGGCTCCGAGAAGAGCATGGCTGTGGGGACGGGCTCCCAGTCAGTCTCCTCTTCGCCGATTTGGTGCCTCGCTTCTTGCATTTCAAGAGTCCCGCACCACCCATCATTATGAGGAATCGAGGAACCGGCTGCTGCTCAAGTTTGTACTGCAACGGGGGCAGTCCATCATTCAGCTCGCCCACGTCCAGCTCAGGTTTGGGCCAGCACAGCTGAAGGATCTCCTGGACTTCAAGCAATTGCAGACGTAATTGACACCGCCGCGCTTGAGATCGGTCAAGACAAGGCTCCGAGTGGATCAGGCTCTTGCTCTTCAGGTCCTTGCCACGTCTGTCACAGCTGTCTCAGGCGCTTTCCGGTGTCACGGCTCGTAAAGGGTCCTCCATGAGAAGGAAACCTCTGCCCAGAAAGGTCGGCAGGGGTGGCATGGTCTTGCTTGCCTGGCCCTCCATCTGAAGCGCCAACGTCTCCGACGGCTCTGACGGGGAGCTGTAGCCCTGAGGGCTGCTGGCACGTACACGGAAGCGGAGCTCCTAGCACGAAGCTCTGCGATGCTCTCTTCACCAGAACCCCATGGGTCCACACGCACCTCGTACCCAAAGCTGGCTTTGATGGCCTCTGCAACGGTCGCCCTCTCCACCAGAGCTCGCACCAGGACGGTCGATGTGTCTTCCACCTTGCTAGGCTGGAAGGGCGATCTTCAGCAAATGGATAGCAACGTGCATCGACGAGTCACGTACACATCAGAGTCCAAGGCGGACACTCTTTACTCGGAAACACTGGAAGTTGCAACAAGGAACCTGCTCCGGTGCAGTGCAAAAGCTGCGCAAGCCGGTCCAGTCGGAGAACTTGCTGCTTGCCCGGCGTTTCCTGCCTTGGACCTGCTCTCGCGGCTTGCAACAAGTGGGCTGCCAACGACTTACGAGTAGCATATGGAGCTTCCGCTCTGCCGAGAGAATGAGTGAAGCACCTGAATTTCGAATCCGATTCCACGCGGAAGTTGAGCCGGCATTTCACCATCCACGGCCACATCGAACTCCAATGAGAACGAGAAGGCATTGCACCTTTTGCAAGGACACGGGACGCTTCAACTGGTCGCCGTCTCGGTCCAGGCCTGACTTCCGGCTTCGCCAGCTGGAGGAGAAACACCTCCTGGCTGTCATCCTGCTCCTTCCATGGAGTCGGCGTGGACCAGTTGCCGCCTGAAAAGTGGGAACTTACAGTGAGGAAAAACAGCAGAATCCTTTCTAAAGTTTGTTACTCCTCGACTCTGTTTACCTCACGACTCTGAGACCGCCGCCGGCTGCTCGGACGCGGAGCCGCCAAGCCTCCTCGGGCATCTCGGAGTCAATCAGTTCCACAGCGGCCTCGTCGGATTCGCTTTTCGCTTCGCTTTTCCAGGAACCAGCACACTCAATCAGCAGACCCGGCAAACCCAGATTCAGCGCACCAGCCGGCAGAAGTGTAGTGTAGAGTGTAGACTGCCACCCGCGAGCGCATGGCTCAAGCAGAAAAACAATCATAGTTAATGTCAGACATCGCGAATGGAACCCCAGCAGCCCCCGCTTAACCCAGACCCCCTCTCTCTCGCATGGTTGATGGATATGGCCGACTCCAATTTCCGTCTTTCGTTCGGTCGCAAACGTCGATCCAACAAGCTCGAAATCAGGTCGGGATGCCACTGATCTCTGGCAAACTCGCGGCCGTGTAGAGGAGTCTCGGACTATCCCCAAAGATCCCTACAAACATCCAAACCTTAAGCTTAGCACCCTGCATCATCAAGGCCGAGGTGCCGTGAGAGTTGTGGCCTGGGCCCCTTCCTCTGCCACATCTTCAAACCGCCTTGGAGACATGGTGTGCTTCCCCGAAGACCTTGGAACGATGCTGCCCCGCTGCTGGGGGAGGAAGAAGCTTTTCACCGGCTTCCAGTCCTCCGAGCCGTGTTTCGACGGGCCCTCTCACTCTTTTATGGGCACAATTTCATTGTAGCTCGTAGCACGCACACTGTGACCGGGTTAAACGACTCTGATTCCTGGGAGCCCGATGCTCGCTGTCTCAAAAGTTGTGCAGGATTGGTTGAGTGTGCCATATGCACAGCGACATGCAGGAGGCAATGCGCTTTAACAACTTTCGCAAGCTTCAGTAGATCAGTGCTGCTGTCATGGAGATGCCGTTCCTACTCTTGTCCTGCACGTCCAACGCGGTGCGGAAGCAGATCTCCGCTTCGAACAGGACATCTGCAGCCAGCTTGCCCCGCTGTTCCCAGGAAACCTCGGGCAAACCGGAAGGCATCCTCTCCCACATTCGTTCTCTTGAAGATTGTACTTCTGCGTGGTTCTTTGCTCTCCAGGGCGTGTGCCTCAATTTCCATGCGTTGTGCTTCCTCTTCCTCTCACTCCTGCCATGCCCTCCCTCAGATCTGGCACACACAACACGGACGAGTCACGGATCATCCTTTGACCCCTTGGGTAACAGCTCCTTGTCCTGCACTGCGCCATCCGTGTAGTCCGACCGTCCCGTCGTGCATCCGCACAAGCCCTTCTCTCTCCATGTGTGGCTCTCTTTTTCTGTCTCTCTCTCTTCTTCCGTTGGGCGTAGAGGGCTGTTTAGGCCCTCCAGCCGCATGGGCCCCCCACTTGTTATGGGGACTTTTTTTTCTCTCCTCTTCTGCAGGGCGTGGAGGGCGTGTCAAGCCCCCCGGCCACTTGGCCCCCCCCATGTGTTATGGGGCTTTTGGAGAGGTGTGACTCGGTGTGACAAGATAGCGAGTCCCCCAGAATTGCAAGGAAAGTATATTGGATTCTAGATTTTCTGGGTTCCTCAGCTATTTTGTTTTTGTTTTTTTTCTCTCTCTCTCTCTCTCTCTCTCTCTTTCTCTCTCTCCCTCTCTCTCTCTCTCTCTCTCTCTCTCTCTCTCTCCCTCTCTCTCTTCTTCCCCGGGGCATGAGGGGAGTGCGAAACCCCTCGGCCTTAAAGGCCCCCCCGATGTTCGTGGGGCTTTTGGAGGGGCGTGAAGATTTGTGAAGGTTTTCCCCCCGGTTGATTTAAGACTGTGTTTAACACTGATTCACTACACATAAGATGTGCTCGTGGAAACAAGGACTACCAGCTAAACCAAAGCTCACAACATAGCATAACATCACATATCTTGCACATCCCCCGGTATACTCAGAGCAGTGTGTGTTATGGTCCTGGCTATGCTCGGGGTATTTTCCTCCTTTTCATACTACTTCATCAGCATCGCAGTCGGACGCCAGATCATCACAACAATTTCTGCAGGCAAACAACTGGAATCTTGATCCCCTATAAAGCAGAAAAAACTGAGGTCCGCACAGCTGTTACTGACCGAGCACTACACAGTCTCCGAGGTGAAGTGAATCTTGATTGGTGTAGAAAGGAGGGAATGCCGTGAGTGCAAAAGACAGACTAGATGCAGGGCAATAGAACATAGCATAAAGTTGTCCCCCCTTCCCTCCATCGGTTCATATGCGTTGTATGGTGCTTTGCACTCGTCAGCACTTTTCGTTCCCCCGGTGCATAGCAACATGAAAACAACATGTGTGGCCATCACAAGAGTACATTACAGGAAACTGTTTCACCGGGTTTTTCGTGCTGACCTAGCCGTTCTTAGCGCTCACTCCCCCTCAGAGGTGGTCGTGGATGTGCATCGCCAAGAGCCGCCGACGTCGGTGACTATCATTGGACATGTCATCTTCATGTTTCCCTTCATCAGGGCTCCGCGCTCGCCGTGGATGTCGTTCTCAGGGACTTGGTGGGTCCATGACCAGTACTATGGATTATCCCCCAAACCATGGTGACGTTCTGTCTCCCACCATTCATTTCTCCCAGTCGGGAGGCCATGGGAATTCTCTGGAATTCGAGCGGAGATTTGTCGTACCAGTTGCATTGCCGCTTCCTGGAGTTGTGGAAGACTTTCCTCCGGCCATGCACCGACGGACTCGTGCAGGTGGTGCAAGAGCGAAAGGGCTTGCTTCCATGCAGGATCTTGTCGTCCCCGCTCCACCAGTGGGTTTTCAGTGCCGCCATCTGCGATCCCCACCACATTGGCGGGGTGAACGATATTCCCGCCAGCGCAGAGGGCTTGCATCGCTTCCCCGACTGCCACCAATGTCGCCCAGTCAGTCGGTCCTGCGGTGTTGTCGAGTACGTTGTTCAGGATCCCCCGCAGCGGCGTGAGGATTGGCGGCAGCTGAATATTCATTGCGATGTCATCCATGGGGAGTGTCTGCATCCATGACATGAGAGCGGCTATGTGCGGCTCGAGCGTCCCGTAAGTGACACATCTCCCTTCATCGGCTAGCTGTTGTCTTGCTATGATGATGAGTGCGGCTGCTGCAGTGTATGCTTGCTGTCGGCAGAGTGTTGTGATGTCGTTGCTCCCCCTGCTGTGCGAGCTTGCGGCTGCATTCGTTGGTGGCTGGTTCCCCCGGCTGGAGTCTGTCCCTTGGTGGTCACTTTCGAGGGCTTCGGCTGTGGGTGTGTCAACCAGCAGGTGGATGAGTGCTTGATTTGCATTGTGTACGATGTTTGCTGTTGCATCGGTGGCTTGGTGTTGTTCCGCGATTCTGCGGATTTCTGTGAGGTGGCGCTCCACCTTTTCCCAGGAGCGTTCGCACGCCTGTGGTTCGACAGGCAGTTGGCTGTCATCTGGGGCAGCAGCTTCTTCGTCGTTCTCTGCATATGCCAGGGTTGGCGGTGGGCTTTGATCCCCCGGTGTTGTTGGTGGGCGACCTGAGGCCGTGTGGGACTGTGTCGTGGGTTGGGGTTCGGTGGCTGCTGTGGCTATTGCATGTGTCGGGTCAGCGGCTCCCGGCAGCTGCTGTGTTGATGGTTGCATGCTGGGTTCGGTGTCATCGGCTGCTGGTGGGGACTGTTGCTCAAGGCTGGCAGAGAAAATGGTGTGTTGCATAAGGTTGCTGGCATCGTCACCCGTGTGGTCATCAGCTCGGGGTTCTGGCTCTGGTGGGTGACCGATCCGTCGTCCATCTCTGAGTCTGGCTGCGAGTGGAGTGTCCCCCGGTCTGCGTTGTTGTGGTTGCTGTGGTGGCTCTGCATCACGGTTGCCATCTGGGTTCAGTCCCCCTCGCAGCGGTCGACGGTCCATGAAGGCAGGTTGTGATTGTTGTTGTGTGTGCTGGGCTCGTTGTTGTTGATGCGTGGCTTCTTTCGTGTCGCGGCTGTTTGCGGCTGGGTCAGTTGTGCGTGAGCTGTCTGCTTCCGGTTTTCGTACGGGTGGGTAGTAGCTGCGCGGTGCTTCGTGGGATGAGCTTGCTGCGGAGTCGCGCTCTGCTGGTGGGTCTGTGTGTTCTGCCTTCCCCGGCTCCGTCTCGGGTATGCTTGGGAGGGGTCTATGTGGCTTTGCCCCTCGAGGTGCATGTGTGTTCCCCAGCTGGGTCTGGGGTTGTTTGCCAGCCTCCCGCAATCTGCGGACGGCTTCTGGTGGACTCGAACTGAGTTGTTCCACCTTTATTATCCATTCAGCGTCGACCTGTTCGAAGCGGAGGCGATCGCCGGCTGCCAAGAGCATGGTCCCCGGCATGTGGTCTTCCGGCGCTGGCGCGTGGTCTATCTCTAAGAGCCACAGCTCCGACGTGATCTCCGTAAAGAATCCAATCACGCCTTCAGTGAAGGGCGGCGCGCTAACCGCTGTCCCCTCCGCTCCCTCCGTGACGATGCGTGGAAGGCTGCCGCGTTGGGTGCTTGGTCTTTCCGGAGCGTCAGGTGCACGGACGACTTCGATGCGCCATGTGTTGTCGGGTAGGGGCAGCAGTTCCCCCTGTGTGTAGGGGGGTTGGATTGGGAAGTCCGGTGGGATCGACATGTTGCGGACAGGGTCTGATGTTTGTGCATCGACCCACTCTTGCATGAGTTGTTCTTCCCAGGGTGGTCGCTGTTGGGAAGTGATGGGGTCTGCGTCTGCTGCTTCTGCGGGGGCGTCGTCGGCAGGCGTGGTCCCCGCCTGTGTGTTGTCAGGGGCTTGGCTCGGTGTGTTGTGGTCATTGCTGTCGGCAGTGTGCTGTGTTGTGTTGGCTGCAGCGGTGCCTGCGTCGGTGTCGGTTTGCGAGTCAGGTGGCTGAGTCGTGTCTGCAGTGGGGCCTGTGGTGTGATCGCCGGTGGGGGTGACTGTGGGTCGTGGTGCTCCGTATGTCCCCCAGGGGAGGTTGGCCCGGTTCAGTAGGTCTGCCCAGTCCACTTCGGCCGTTGGTTGGTGTCGTTGTGGTGGTCGCTGACGCTGGGATTGTTGGTCACGCTGCTGCTTGTATAGTATTCCCCAGCCTGGCCCTTGCTGGCTTTGCGGTGCGGGTCGTGCTTGTGGCTGCTGTCTGTTTGCCTGCTTCCACTCGTATTTGCAGGCTTTGTTTTGTACCCGCTGGCTTCCGTGCCCGCAGTCGTTGTCCTGGTCCTCTGGCTCCGCATCTGTGGCGTAGGCTGCCGGCTCTGTGGTGTCTGCTGCTGCGTTTCCCTGGTCACCAGGGGGGTCGTCATGGGTTGCAGCGGGGAGCGTGCTTTCCCCCCACATGTTGATGTTGCTCGCTGCGTCTGTCGTCGGTTCTGTGTCGGCCTGGTGTGCGTCAGTGTCTGCTGGTCCGGCTCCAGTGTCGTGTGGCTCGGTCTCCATAGCTTGCGTGCTGGCCGCCTGCCCGCCCCAGGCGTCTCTGTCGTCTGCCTCGAGGTCTGGTGTTGAGTCTGCCTGGTCTGGTTCGGCTGTGGCTTGCTTGGTGTGTGTCGTGGTGTTGCTCTGTATGTGCAGGTGCTTCTGGCGGGAGGGTCGTCTGCTGTGCAGCGGTGGTGGGGTGTGTGGTTCGCCGCTCTTGCTGCTCTTTGAACATCAGTGCGAGGCCCTCTGCGACTTGTCGGGATGGCCCGTCTGGTAAAGGTTGTGTGAGCATGATGACGCCACGTCGGCCGACTTGGTCTGGTGTCTTTGGGCTGCTCTGCCGAGTGTCTGTGGGATCGGTGGCATTGGAGGCTTGAGGATGTTGTGGCTGTGGTGTGGGTTCGTGTTGGTTGGTTGGATCAGGCTGGTCCCGTGGAGTCTGTGCTGGGCTCGCCGGGTATGCCAGGGATCTGTTGCGGGGTCGTAAGGGGGTGCAAACCTGACGGTGCCATACCCCTGGTGGTGGTGAGCTGTCTGTCTTGGATGACAGGCTGCTTGTGGTTGTGCTGTATGTGGTTGCTGGAAGGTTCCCCCGGGCTGTCCGGCTGCCGGGGTAGCCTGGTGCTGTACAGCTTGAGGCTGCGGTTGCTGCATCTGTCCATGGTTGTGTGTTTGCTGCCAGGCTCCCTGCTGACCTTGCGGTGGTTGCTGTTGTGGGGGGAGTGTTTGTTGTTGGGTCCCCCCGTAGTGTGCTTGCGGCTGGAGCTGGTATTGCGGCGGCGGCATCTGTATCTGCGGGATGCCGTTCCCCCCGATGTGGATCTGGGCTTGTGGTGTCAGTGTGTAGCCGCCCCACGATGTCACTGTTGCACCACCTGTCGACGGGTGAGTTGCCTGCCATTCAAAGCTTGTGGCAGCCAGTGGGTGATGGTGTGGTCCGGCCGTTGCCACGTACGGCGGTAACCAGGGTGTATGCGGCGGCGCCAGGATTTGCCCTCCGGCTTGATTCGGTGGTGTCGGTGGTTGTGGTGGATGTGTGGTGCCTTCGCCGCCTTGGGTCTGTGCATCGGTCTGCTGTCCTGCTTGTGCCTGAGTGTTGGCTGGGCCGTGTTCCCCCGGGGCACGTCTGTGTTGCTGCGGTCCCCCGGGATTGTGTTGGGGTTGCATGCCGAGGCTCTGCTGCTGCAATGACATCCAGATGAGTATCATCTGGACAGTTCGCATGTTGCAGGGTGTGCTGCCGTGTTTCTGCATGTCTTTGCTGTGTTGAACCTCCGGGCGAATGTCACTGGGATTCTCTCCCGGCTGTCTGAACTTCAAGCTACAATATGGTCAGGGTAGTCAAAGCGGTTGGTCATGTAGGAGTTGTGCATCATGTACAGCGGAGTAGTTGTCAGGCGATTGCAGGTCCTCTTCTTCCGCCGGGCATGAGGGGCTGTTAAGACCCCTCGGCCACTAGGGCCCCCCCATATTTTGTGGGGACTTTGGAGGAGTGTGAGAGTGGTTCGTTATCGGCTTCCCCCGGGTAGATCACACACAAAATTAATATCTTTAGGTCGTGTAACAATCCGTGATCCCCCAGGAACCTTGACTACTCTCTACGATCAGTTCTGCCTGCATCGGTCCGGGATCCTCTTTCAGAATAGACAGCGTAGAGTGCTAAACAACTGACATATAGCTGATAATATAGCACGACCCCTGCACCATTGAATTGGCTATCCCTCGGGACCCGGAATGCGACTGACATGTCCATACCGAATTGCAAAAAGGAAAGTCTTGGGGAGCGTAGTCGGAAGGTTCGATGCCCCGGAGGGCTTGAAAAGATCTTAAAGACTTGAGTTCAGGTAGTTGCAGGACGGCAAACCAACCTGAGGTACGTGGGCGGCGCGGGTGGCTGCCGAAGCAGCTCGTATGTCACAACTATGGTGCCACCCCGGCATGGGAACATATGTTACAAGAGCCACAGCATGCAGCTCTCAAAATTTAGAGGCTCACTGCATCACTCAGTTCATCACGATCGTCGGTTGGAGAGTTCGGTCTCCCCTCTGTTCCCCTCCTGCTTCTCCGAGTTGTGCGTCTTCGCCACACCTTCAAAGCATGTAACCCCCCCAGCCTCTCGGCATATTCTGCAACGAGGTGTGTCCCCCGACATGTTGAGGTAGACCCGCACGTTCTTTGCACTCTCCTTGGTCTTGCCACTTGCTCAGTCAGGTAGGCGTCTTTCTCCCCCATCCAGTGGCCGTATAGCGCTGGATCGGCGTGTCCTCTCCCGCAGGGTCCTCTTAGCAGAAGCGGATTTTCTCAGTTTCGACAAGCGCGGAGGCGATGAAGAACTTGCACTCCCCCGCTCAGGCTGACTCAGGTAGCACTCAAACTTTACGTGGAGCTCGATGGCTGCAAGTTCTAGGAGACGTCTAGCTTACGTCAGAAGGGCAGGGGTGGGATCACCGGAAACGGCACAGATCTCCGGCTCACCCCCCGCTAACCCCCTTTGAGCTGATGAAGTCGCCCAGGATGGCGAAGAGGATGAAGTCACCTTGAGCCAAAATGGCTGCAGGTCCTCTCTCTCTCTCTCTCTCTCTCTCTCGCTTTTTACGAGGTAGGAGCCAAGTGCAGCATCCAGGCCCTCACCCCGCGCGAGTTTGCGCACCTGCATCCAGTGACAGGTGTCCTCATCCCCTTCGGGAAACAACTGTCCGGAATGCTCGGCTGTACGGGTGACGTCCCCAGAAACCAACATTCCTACACATGCAATACCTGCAAACATGTTGAAGTCGGTCGCCCTCCTTAGGCTCAGCATCTTGCAGACAGTACTGATGGAATTAGGCAACGAACATCGACTTTCACGTGGGCTGCAGAGAAGAAACTGAAAGGCTACAGTCAACAGTGTCGAGCCATCATGAAAAATCCCCCTGAAAAGGAGGGCACTACATCGAAGAAGATAGTTGTCAGACACAAGAAACATGAGCAAACATGTGAGACAGCCATCATCAGCTGACTGAGCGAACGGTGCAATGGCAAAGTGACTTGATTAGCAGTCGGCGACGCAGGACGACAACCTCGCAAGATGTTCTCTCTCGGTCTCTCTCTTTCTTTCTCTCCACGAGGTGGGGAGCCCCCGGGAGCATCCAGCCCAGGTCTGGCTCTCTCTCTGTCTCTTTGCTTTGGGGCTTGAGGCGGGAGCAGTCCTCCCTGTCTCTCTCTGTCTCTCTCCTCTCTCTCCTCTCTCTGCGCTTTTTCTTGCGGGATTCAAAGCTTTCCTTTTCGGCAAGGACCGCACGCCCAACAAGAACCTCGCAAGAACCAAAAGTACGACAAAAAATACCACTAGCTCTGCATCGCCGTAAGCACAGCAGGCAGCTTTCCATCACCCTCGCCTGCCAGAGGTTCCTGCTGCCACCAAGGATGTTCAACTGCTGTGGACGTCGTGGAGCCGCTTTCGGTGCAGCATTCCTGTAGCAAAGACTGGCTGATACGGGGCGCATGGGAAGTGTGATGACACCGCTTCCAGCATGCATGGATGTGGCCAGACTGGTGACAGAACCTCATCCGGGCCTCAGCGCCTCCTGCGCGGCTTCTGCGGCCAGAATCGCGTCCGCCAGGACCACAGGCGCCTCAGCCTTCGAGCGTCGCGTCGCTCACGACAGACAGCTCGGAGAAAGGTCGACGCAGCCTCCGCGCACGCATCGCTAAGGCGGCCGTCGTTGCTCTGGCACCGCACTCGCAACCAGCAGCGCGATGAGCCTGCCGTCGGATACCGTCTGAAACCAACACCAAACCTGACAAGCCCTCTAGCACGTGGTTTCCAACGTCTGCAACGGAACTTTGCAGCGATATCGCAGGCCACAGACCAGGAGCAAAAGCCAGCCTCCACCTTCCTGCGGCATTTGCAGCGGAACAAAGCCTCAGGAAAAGGCTTGTCCCGGCTCCTTCCTACCGCACAACGGCCTGATGCAAAACGAGACAATAGCATGATCGCGCGAAACCTTCAGCAACCCTGCTCCACATTTGTTTGTCCACGGGCTTCGAGCCGACAGGAGCTTGGGGGAACAACGGATACGGAATGCCGGCACCAATGCAGCCTTCCTGCGGCCACGGCACCGAGGTTCACAAAGCCCGTCGGGCTGGATTGGCTTTCCACCTGCATCACGGCCGCGGTCGTCGAGCTCCAGTCCGATCTACGAGAAGCATCCAGCTCCCAGGACGCCTCGGCACGAGACAGTGGGAACTCAGGCATGGAGGACCTTCCGACATGTTCCTCACGGATTGGAGCCGAAGTATGTCGACTGCCTCGACGACGTAACCGAAGCCCTTGAGGCCGCTGTCCTAACGGATGCAGAAAGCATCGAGCAAGAGAGGTGACCTTCCACAATTGCTAGTCAGAGCATATGCTTGACAACGGCGGGCGACGGTGGGTATGAGGTAGAGTGTGATACAAGGCACCAGCGATGCGGTGTCCTTCTCCGCTGTCCAGGAGACTTCGGCTAGAGGAAACTTACCTTCCCAACAGCATGCGCAAGCAAACTCCAACTTCGCATGCCTAAGTTGAAACGTGGCTAGCCTGAAGTCTCTGACAAGTCTATGAGTCTATGATCCAGCTTCGACGAGAAACTTCCAGGAGCAGTGAGTGTTCTCGTCAACTCCAACTTCTCTGCAGCAGGAGGCCCAACGACACCGTTGATCCGCAGCGTCGCTCGCACACCTTGCAAAGCACTGCACAGGAGCGAAGCGACCAGGGCCAGGCGGCTTCGCGACTTCTTAGTTCTAGTGCGGGCCATCGCGCTGTGTGCAGCCTTCCCATTTGCAAGCTTGACCACTCGCAATGCCAGAGGCTCGGCGGCTGGGAACTGCTCCAAGCCTGCACACATCCGCACAGCGCCAACGCACACTTCAAATAACTCGCCTAGCTATGCACGGCTTGGCCTGAGACGAGAACTTCACTGTAGGCCTGAGCAGCTTCACGTGTGCGCAGAGCCTGACCGGACCGCATCAGCCTTGTCGTTTCTCACTTCCGTTCGGTGATACATCGGAAGGATGCTCCAAACGACGTAGAATGGCAAGCGCTCCTGACGCTCCCATCGTTGGCGTGACATTTTTCTGGTAGCTTATTTGATAGGTCCAAATTCGATGCCCGCGCTCGCAACTACTGCCGACCCCGTGTCCTCCCGCGCTTCGACTTGGTACTTCACGTCAGGACCTGAAGTGAACTAGAGCATCCGAGACGACTCAGCATATGTCCTACATCCCCCAAGCTCCCATGCGGCGTCCAAGTCAGCCGTGCGATCATGACAAGAATGCAATGCAAGTAAAGCTCCGGGAACCACGCTCATCTGGAAACAGTTCATGTGTGCATGCGTGTTCATCTATGTCTCCCCTTGCTGTACCGTGGATATTGCAGCACCAAGTCACCATCTTCCTCGATCCACTGCAGGCGGCAGTGTGTGCGCAAGCCTGGCAGTGAAACCCTCTCTATTGCTCAGCGGAGAACGGCCGTCTTGGTCCAGAAGCTTTCCCTGGCACTCTAGGGCTTTCGGAAGTCTCCGCCCTCAAGAAGGAATGGTCAAGCCTTGCTGGCAAACGGTCGAGCCTCGTTTACCACCTCCCTCAGGCTTGCTCGTGCCCTTGACATGGCAGGCACTTCTCTTCCAGTAAAACTGCTGCAGCATCTTGCCACGTGCAGTGCTCCTCCTGCTCCAGAATTGCAGGAGTCATGGCCAAAACGTCCATGGCCTCAGTTAGCACTTGAACAATGCACGACACCTCAACTGTTGGCGTAGTGAACAAACCGCAACGTTGCTGTCGATTCAAGTTAACTCACAGGACTCCGCTGCTGAAGCCTTTACCATACGACCGTCTGCAATGCCAGTCTCGATCAGTCCACCACCGTAACTGGTGCGACTCATTGCAAGCGCGTCACCGTGACTTGAAGCTCTGATTGGTCGGCGTTGGCCTCCTGTCTTTCGCAAAACGCTGTTCTTCACGAGTGGGGCCCGCACTCAAATCTCAGAGACAAGCCCTAGGCCCAAGGCGCGCAGGTTTGCCTGAATTCCTGGTCCTACCTCCTACCTGTATCCCGATCCACACAAACCTCCTCTTTCTCCCGCAGCTTGAGGACGGCAGACGTTGCGCTCCATGTTGACTGCCCTTCCACATTGGTCGACCGAACCCGGAACCTGAGATTGGGAGTGAATCGGGCTGCAAGCAGCTCTAGCTGATGCGACAGGCGGCTCCACTCCGTTCCGTTCAGGAAGTACTGGCTTTAGGCCTTCGGTCCAAAGTCATGACATCATAATCTGCATTTTGCCCTCATACTTCTTGGCTCCGTGCCCATGAGCATGCAGGAGGACACAAAGCTGTCGAGTCGATCGTCCCACTTGTGCTCGTGACTGAAGAAGAGCCGACTGCCGTCGATCCTGCGGTTGCTTCCCATGGAAATCTCGTGAAATATGGCCAGGGGAACGACATTATTAAAGAAGCTCAAGAAACTACATTTTCTATGTTTGCCTGTGTGCTGCAGCTCTTGCCATCTGGGAAGGTACTGCATCGTGGATTCGTCAGATGCTCTTACTGCTGGCAACGTGGCTGTCAGGAAACGAACAAAAACAGATCGCGGGCTGTCACCAACCCACATGTGCAGTTTTGCTTCATAGGACACCTACATCTGGAGCAGATCACCAATCTTCGTGGACTTGTGCCTCTTCCACTCATCTGCACCTGCCGCTCTGTACTCCACTTCATGGTGAGGCCTCAAGCACCAGGACAGCGGCTCAGCGTGTCAAGGTGCGAGTGAACTCGCCTGCCATCTGGTGCACTGTTCGGGACAGGCAGCAGGATCTCCAGTATTTCCTGCTGCCATCTGCTTTCAGACATGCTGCAATGCTGCTACAGTCTCCGCATGCTGGCCGAGCCACCATCTGACCGGTGTCCGGAAGCAGCCTCACCTCGGGCACGCCTGAGCGGGCAGAGCCGCAGCTCCGCAGCCCTGGCTTCCCTTTTTGAAAGAACGCCCGCCTGGATTCGGAGGAAACGGGCAGCTCGGCATCTTCTGTGCTGCGCATAGCTCACTGCAAGCTCCCTTCACCTCCTTGGTCTCGCCATTTGCATGATCGTTTACCTGCATGTCACATGGCAATTCTCCGAACATCCAGATCGGCTTCTACTCTCAATGCATGCCAATGAGCATTAGCGGTGCCGAAGACGAAAGATGAATTGGCTATGAATTCTGCTGTCGAAGCTCACGAAAAATCGGTGCAATATCTGTTCGAACCCCAGCATGCGATACCAAGTCAATTACGGCCTGGTAGACACATTGCGCAGCAAAGCGATAAGGAACACCGCCTGGGCCACTGCTGCTGGTATGCCCGTGGTCTGTCGAGGCGATGCGCCAAGCCAAGTGGCACTGTAGACTCCGCACGTGCATAACTTGGCTGCCCTGTCAGGGTTCAAGATCAGAAACATTGCTTGAAGCTCCTGCGAGCTCCCTCGGCCTCTTGGCAATCCAGGATCTCTTGTCTGGTGGGAAGGACCGGCTCCTTGGAAAAGCAGAAAAGGCTGTCCCTGCTATGGGGCGGGGCGGCGGGTCTGGCTTGATGCAAGCAGCTATGTGCAGGATGTACTTCTGGATCGGAGGGCAGTAGTTGGCCGCTGGGGGTGGCTTTAAGCGCAAAGAGACAGAGCAGCTCGTCTCACCCATCTGCATGTACGCCTTCTCCTCAGCACACACACACACACACACACACCCTTGCATGCTTGGGCTTCGGCCAAGGGCTTCAATGCATCCATGCAATTGGCATGGTGCTGTTCATGCTGAAAGTCCAACTTGGCCCCACTTCCTTCAGCCATTATCACAATCCCTCAACCCGGTGTCCGCTGCAGGCTCTTGTGGCATCGGCAGCTGCAGCACGAAGCTGACGGAACCCCCAACCTGCTCAACGCCAGGGTGTCCCGTGCAATCGTGTCTTTGTTGGCAACTTTCTCTGTGCCTGCCTGCTTGCCAGGCACGCGGTGCTGCTCCGAGCAAAAAAGGCGGATGTCATATGCCTGGCAAAGCAAATACCGTGGAAGATGTGCCGTTAAGGGACAAAGTTGCTGACAAGTCACTCGATGGCCACTCACGCTCCATGGAGCTGTCAGCCAGACCACGCAATCTCTCATTGAGGCAGGTGGTCCTGCAGCATAGAACGAGTGGCGCAAACAGTTACCACATGTCACTAATTGCTGTGCTGCACGAAACCCTAATGGTTGAGTTGTTGCAGCCCCTGAATTTCAACCGTTACAAAAAGGCCCGAAACTTCGTGGAGCCCTAATAAACTTAGAGTACGCATCAGCAGAAGCGCTTCTTCGTACCAAGAAATAAGACGCTGCCTGGCATAACACTGCCATTATCAAGCGTCGCGCACGCCAGCATCAAACCACGGTTGTTGCAAGTCGCTCTACTAAAAGTATGCAGGCGAGACAGGACAAGACACATGCAGTGCCACTGCAACAGCTGACCAATTTTCAGGAAGCATACAGCTGGCAAGGGAGAACGACTGAACCTGGCCCCGTGATTGTTGCAGCACTTTCAAGACACGAACTCGGGCCGAAGCCTAGGCTGAAGTCCCAAGGAGGGATCAGCCCCCATTTTGTCAATAGAGTTTCGAGTGGGGCCTGGCGACCGTATTCCAGCTTCTTTTCTTGCAGGGTTTCGGATAGGATTCTGATACGATTCGCTGGTACGACCGGCGTATTTCTCATTTCTGGAGATACGGTTCTGATACGATTTCGGTACGACGATTTCCAGTAGGATTTCAATGCGGCTTCCAAGAAATACGGTTTCAACACGAACCCCGGAAACCGTATCCAAACCCCGATCCAAACCCTTATTTTGCTTGGAAAGGAGCAAAAAAACAGCCCTGTGGGCCTCCCCAAGGAACAACAGGGACAATAGGGGTTTGGGTGGGCGATCTGGACCCGGCTTGTGAGTTGGGCAGCTTGAGTCTGCATCTGCGCCCTTGGGATGAAAACATCAGCCTGTTTGTACTCTGCTGTGGTTTGTGGTTGCTGCGTGGAAAATGGCTATTCAGAGTTTTGCTTGCAGGCCTCTCATATTTCCATCTGATCTGCCTTCTGTTTTGGTTTGGCTGCAGTTGCAGCCAATTCATTGCTCAGCATAACCGGTCTTCGGGAGCCTAGGTCAGGCATCCAGTCATCCAGATAAGTGTTTTGATTCGGTGCTGTTGAGCCGCTGGTCACGTTAAGTCACTTTTCAGTTGTGCGGGTGCCAACGATCCGGACGGTTGACGATTGATCCGTTCATGGCCTCTAAAGATGTGCTGCAAAGTGATGACCATGACTACTGTAGGAATGTCTGTCTCTTTTTGCGCTTGTTGGGCTTGTGGCAAAGACTTCAACATGTTGGGAGGATGCTATGACTTCAAAAGCGCAAGTAGACAGCTGTCAACTGACCTAGACGATGTGCCTGTCGCAGCTCTGAACGTTTAGTCCCCCTTGATGTCCAGCCTTGGGTGCTCCAGATGTTATCGCGGTGTTTCCATGCACGCTGTTCTTCGATGACCATGCCTGCGTCTCGCTTGAGCAGGATGCTGCAGGTGTTAAAGACAGAGGACTTTAAAGGAAGCGCGGGAGAAAGATAAAAGTATAACTGTTGACGATGTTAATGAGTTTTTCAAGAAGAACGTTGAAGCAAAAAGAAAACCTGTGGGACAGAACAGTTTTGTAGCACCACATTCGGCATACGAGTATCAAATGGACTTGATTTTTATAAATGATTTAGAGGATCAAAAGTTTAAGGTTGGTATGATCATGATAGATGTTTTTGATAAGTTTACGCATGTGGTAGCAACAAAAGGCAAAAAAAGAAGAGGATTTAGCGAGTGGAATGATTGAGTGTTTGCATAAGATGGGAAAAAGCCTAAGATTTTTTATACTGATGACGAAGGTGCTCTATTTAAGGAAGCTGTTCAGACATACTTAAAGGAACAGAAAATACAGCACCACAGGACAAGGGCACATGCAAACTTCAGTGAGAGGGCGATCAGAACTTTTAAGGACACGCTATATAAAATGCGTGGGGATTTGATCCTGGTAATGTTCTCTGTCGCTCACCCCACAAAGAGCTGTATTGACTGTTGGCGTGGTTGCCTTCTACAAGCTGGATCACCGTTACTTCCACTTCCACACACGCACTCCTATGCAGGCAGATCCAACGTTCGCTCGTTTTGCACACTTGAGCCGGCGGTGGATCGTCTGTGCACGGGATAGCTCTGTCTACTCGGAGAATCACAGAAGATTATAGCACTTTAGCTAAGGGCAATGCTTTCTAGAGCTTGTGCTCATTCTTGAGCCAAACGTTGCATGGGCGGTCATACTGAAAGGATGGATAGGCATTGCGGTGTGCGTAGCACTACCACAAGCCTACTCCTAGAGACGAGGGACGCGTGGCGTGCCCCCTTCCCTTGCACTTTACACGGTCTTGCTCACAGCTCTTATAGTGACACCTTGGAACTTGACAAGGCATCGCAGTCCGTTCGCACCCCCCATGAGTTGCGTCTCTGACGCTGCTCACCCGGAAGATGGCACGATAGGAATATCAGAAAATTTGTTCCGCCGCAACTTTGACGTATAGATCAGAGCTTTTGCATCCCAATTAGAAACGTTGTGACACTCATCTACGTCGGTAACGATCCCCTGAAATGGCAAACGAATCAGGCGTCACCGAAGAAAGGAGCATTCGCGATGGAATTCCACGTGCGAAGTACAGAGGTCACAAGCTGGAAGATGAGGTGGATCAGGCGTTGTCTCGCCACCATCTTCGCGTTGACGTAGGATCGCGTTCCCAGGGCCGGAGGTTCTCCTCTGGATACTGGTTCCTCTGCTTTCCTTTGTCCTTGCCTTTGTTTCGGCCTTTGCCGGCGATGTAGTCGTGGTAGGAATTGGTGTTCCAGCCACCATGTTGCTCATCTCCGGTCCTCTCACGCCCTTTTGAAGGTCCCTTTGCCGAGGAAGCGCTGGCACGTTCCTCCGTAGTGACGGGCGTGTCCATGATGGAAGTACCACCCGGAGGGAGATACTCTTCGACCGAAATGTGATGTAATGCTTCAGGACGTCGAGTATTCGGATTTTGCTGTCTTTCAACTCTAGACTTGACCAATCTGTCCATGAAGTGCGCTGGCATTTGCACGTTGTGGTCCACCAGCAATCCAACGGTCTGGACGGAATAATCTGCATGAGTCAAGAGGATGCCGACCGGGTCGATGTACAGAAAGTCCACCGGTCCAGTTGGCGTGTTTCGTAGTACCGAAAATTGTTGATGTCCTGTCACCATCGGGATAACTTCACATAGGACGTTGAGGCAACAAAAGTGCATTGCCTTCACGTCTTCATCCTTGTTACTCTTCAAGTACGTGGTTGGATTGAAGTTATCTCTGCCGATTCCCATCATGTTGGCTCCCCGTGTCAATAGCGAAAGCATCTGGTTCGTCCGGAAGCGCTTCAAAGTGTAAGTCCCGTTGGGATCATACGACTTGAGGTTTTCAGGCTCCTTAGCAAAGCGAAGGATCTCCTCATCAGTCACGTCCCTGCTCACACCTGTTTCTTTATCCACTCCAGCCAAAGTTCCCCACTTTCCGAGCACATCATAGCGTTGGCCATGTGCGAAATTCTCTCTCATCTGAAACAACGGCATAGTCGCCCATTTCGCGAATCCTGACCAAGCTTTGTAGATGGTTCTGCATACAACGAATGCCATGTACGAAAGAGCGGCCATGTTGGCGTCGATGCAATGGGCGTTCCGTTTGCCGTGGTAGTAGGGCGGCTGCATGGCGGTGCGGGCGATCTGCAGTTCAGGGTCGATGTTCAAAGACTGACCGGCAATGAGGACGGGACGTCGTTCCTGTGCCACCGCATCTGGTACCTGGTCGTCAAAGTCCTCTCCTGGTTCCGTGTCCATTTCTTCATCAGGTTCCTGTTCTGGATCGTCATCACCAACGACGGATGGTTCTGGAATTCCTTCGGGTTCCGCGACCGATTCCGCTTCCATGGCTTCCTGTTCCTCGACGGTTGCCTCAGGTACTGCTGCTGCCGCAGCTTCCATCGTCTGAGCAATGAAGTCACTTGGGATCTCCGTTGGAGTATCCCGTTGTGGAGTACCTTGGTAGTATGCGCAAGAAACGAATTGTGACCAGCAGGATGTGCATCGAGAAAAGCATGCTGGAACAATGTTGTAGCACGCTGGGCATACCCTCATTCTCCTGCCATCCTCATCTCTTCGTAGATCTTCGGGTCGCCAGTTCTTGATGACAAACTTGATGCCCTTGTCCATGTAGTGATGTCGAACCGTGTTCTCCCTGTGGGCCTCCAAAACAGTGGTAAGGTCTCGCATTATCTGCTCCTTGCTTGTGTCATGGGGTCCAGGAGGCATCTCGCAAAGCAATTCCATGATCTTGCTTGGCGTTCGATATCTCTCGAATTCAGGAAGCAATGGAGATCCATTGTAGTCCAACACCATCTCTTTCTCCAATCGTTCATCGTAGATCTTTTCCACTAGAGCGAAAGAATGTGTATCCTGAGGATTCGGGACGCAAAACCATACCTCCTTCACGAACTGGAACGATATCGTTCGACCAACGATGATTACACCGCTGTCAGTGATACGTCCACCTTCTCGGGCAAGGTCTGTCGAAGCAACATGGAGGACCACGAGTGGCATGTGCTTGGCTTGTGGCCCGTGTACCCGAGCTTTGGTCGTCGCGTTCCGGTTGTCGAACGGTGCGAACACCCCCCAGTAACTGTGGAGTCTGCCACCTCGGTTGTCCTGAAATCGACGTCGCTGGTCGAAGTCCCCGTCAGGATCCTCCGAACCAGGCATGACGCCCTGCAGAACGATAGAATCCAAGTTGCGGCATGCCGTAGCGTGGAACGCGCCCCCGAGACGTGTCAAGAGGGTCATGGATGGAGATATTGCGAACCGGTCCTTGTCCAACTGAAGCAAATTGTTCTGGGGATCGGAGTGCGTAGAGTGACCACTTGTGGCCCTGACAGCCCATGGCTTCACCCAGCCGTTGCAAACATTCAGGTACCTCTGATTGTGTCGGCAACGGTCGTTGTTCTGGATCTCTGTGATCTGATCTGGAACCGACACCAACATGCTCGAG